TGAAATGAACTTGTCGGTGAATTAATTGTCGGTGAACTAAGTTGTCGGTGAAGTGATTGTCAGTGAAATGATACGTATCCGATTTTAACAGTGACAAATTCAAGACGACTCCACCAACATATGCATAGAAAAAAAAGAATTATTAGTTAAAGGCGAAAAAAAGAAACAAAAAAAAGAAGCCAAAAAAAAAAAAGAAACCTCTTGAAAAAACGGCTTCAAAACAACAAAATAATTCTAACAGTGACGGCTCTGAAGAAAATGATTATCAAATGATAATCATTATTTATATATGATCGCCAATCTAAAAATTGATTGGCTGATCATATAGAGTCACCATAGCGACAGGTCACCATTGTATTTTTGCCTTTAATTTAATAAAAATCCAATTAATTGTAATCTAATGTTTTTGAAATTTTTTAATATCCCTACCCTAAATTAGAAAATATTTACTCAAGCCACCCAATTGTCACAATTGATAAACAAATTTTTTTATGTTTTATAATAAATTCATGTTATAATTAATGTCGCGGATTATGGTGAAATCGGATCATCGTGAAATCTAGGGCCTTAATTTAAAAATATAAGCCCTCACAACCCTACAAAACCTACTTATACTCTTTTATTCTAAACCCTAACCCTAAATACTAGTCCAGATTCAAAAAAAAAAAGCCTAAAAAAATATACCATAAAAAATTTTAAAAATTGGAATTTCATGATGATCCAGATTTCATAATCATCCGCGACAATTAATATAAGGATAAATATATGCATCGCATGCTGTGATATGTTTATACATCGCATCTATATATAAAAAATATAATATGTCTATAACATCTAAAATAAACCGGATTTTTTTGTTTGGTTAGGGTTAGGGTGCAATATAGGTGGGTATTTATAGTAAAATTTGCATGAAATTTTGTTGTTAAAGCACGAAAGATAGTTTCATATATGAAAATTTTGAGTTTTAAGCAACTTTGAATCTTCCTGATCGTGCTACATTACACCTGATCTTGAAATTTGATTGGTCAATCATCTAAAATGCGATATATAAGCACATCGCAGGTTTTGATGCCTAATTAAGTCTTTAATATAAAATAACGAAAATCGAATAATACCTATTTACAAAACCCATTAATTTACCTACTTTAATTCTACGTCTAGTTATATGTCTAGTAAATATTCATGAAACTTAAATAGTTTATTTCAAACACTTCAATTAATAAATTTCCTTCATAATTATCTAAATTAACGCGAAAAAATAAAGTTAAATAGTAAATATTCGTGAGCCTGAATAACTTATTTTAAACACTTTAATTAATAAATTTCTTATCCTCACTTATATTAATACGAACCAAATGCAATTAAATAGTCATGAACCCGAATAGCTTATTTTAAACATATATATCAAAATTTTTTCATATTCACCCGGAATAATGCGATAAAAGGAAATGAAGTAGTAAGTATTCATGAACTTAGTGGCTTATTTTAAATTAGATCAATAAATTTTCATGCTTACCTACAATAATTTGGCAAAATAACATTAATTTATGAACTTAAATATCTTATTTTAAATGTAGATTAGCATATTTTCTTTATACTTACCCAAATTAATATGAATAAAATGAATTAAATAGTAAATATTCATGAAATTAAATAGACTGTTTAATTAGTAAATTTTTTATAATACTCATTTAAATTAACACGAACAAAACAACCTAAATACTAATTCAAATTCTTCAAGTACCATTCTCGCTTTAAGTATCCACATTCTAAACGTTCTAACAAAGTCTGTAAAAAGAAAAAGATGTTAGTCTATATTTAAAAAAAAAAAAAAAAAAAAAAAAAAAAAACAAGAACTCTCAATTAAAAAATGAAACTAGTATTTATCTAAGTTGTCATTTTCTTGCCAAATACCCATTTCAAATTCGACCGTTCTAACAAAAACCTACAAAAAAAAATGTCAATTTTTACTTAAAAGAAAACAAAAAACGAGATCGAAAAAAGTTCTTTGCCCAGACTTAACTCTTTGAGCGCTATTTCACGTTCCAAATACCGTACGGTACTGACTACAGTACCCCGGGTACTATTCAATCAACCATCAAATTTCTTGAATAGTACCCTCTCAGGTACTAATTACGGGAGGGTACTATAACAGGAGGGTACTTTATAGTTTAAGATTAGTTTAATAAAGATTCAAATATAAATATGGGACACTTGAACAATCATGAACCCATTTATATCACATTCTATATAATCACATTATGTAATACAACCTATATTATGCAGGTAGTACAAACCCTAACCGTGGCCATTATACAATGTTACACAAATATTATTAATGTGATTATATAAAATGTGATGTAAATAGGTTCACAATTCTTCAAACTACCCAAAAAAATTATAGTTCCTATTTGAAAAAAAAGTTTCAACCAAATAAACACTTATATATCGTATTCTAAGGGTTAGAATACTCCAGCTTAGAGCGAAGGTCTTCGAATTACAAAATAGTAAAAATCAAGGTTCGTATAAATGCCAAGTTACCATAGAAGTAATGTCTTACGAAGACAAAAGTTTCATATATTCTACTCTAGACGTTAGCTTCTAGTTCTTTTCATCCCTAATATAATAAAAAAAATTAGTTAATGACAATGATTATTAAGTAAGTGCAAATTATTTTTGTTCACAGTATACAAAGCTCCCTTTATGGAATAAGGAAGGATCGTAGGATCGAAACTGTTTCTTATACAGAACTAGTTGACCTTACTTTAGGAACTACATCAAACTACCAATTATGTGCCAGAGACAACCTTCTTTACAACCACTTCCTCCGAAGCCTGACCAAGAGCGGCCCCCCAGCCCACCTTCTTCTGTAGATTTCTCTAAAAAGAAACGCTACCAGTTGTATTACCTTGGTGGTAGCAGTTACTTTAGAAGAAAATCGTATCCAACTCCAGAAGGACATTCATCCGCGTTAATCTGTCCGGCAGCCCACTGACACAAATAGAAAGGTAGCCTGAAGGATTTACAACTTACGAACTAATAATAAACATACTTACTTCATTTCTAAACTGCTTCTTTTGGAACCGTGGCTTCTTATATTTCCAATACGTAGCATGGGCACTACCGGCGTAATGCCATTCCGAATACAGAAGTAGTTAATAAAACTTCAAAAAAATTCGCGTTTAAAATTTTTCGCGGGAAAAATAGATGATCGGAGATCCTCGAAATGACCTATCTCGAACAGGGGAAGTTCTCCAGGTGAGACCGTCCCAAATTAGGAAATTGTTATCTGAGTCACCCGACCGGTCACACAATTGATAAACAAATTTTTTTTTAT